AGCAACCTTCAAAGTTCAGCATTAATTTTCCTGTTCTTTACTCCAGGTGATGGGAACATGTTGTGAGAACATCATCGGTTACATGCCAGTTCCTGTGGGGGTTGCTGGTCCTCTGTTATTGGATGGAAAGCAGTTTCAGGTCCCCATGGCAACAACTGAGGGCTGCCTAGTTGCCAGCACAAATAGAGGCTGCAGAGCTATTGCAGTAAGCAAAACTTTTGTTTTTTCCCCTATATGATTTTTTGTTCTTGAAGGGGTAGCTGAAGGCAAACTCATTGCATGGCCATTTGAACTGATATAATATTGCATAATGTCTAGTGCAGGGGTGGGCAAACTTGGCCCTTCCAGGCCACTTTCCTTCAGAGTTTAGCTCCAACCCTAATCAAACACACCTGAACCAGCTAATCATTGTCTTCAAGTGAGTCATATCAGGGTGGGATCAAATCTCTGCAGGAAAGTGGCCTGGAAGGGCCAAGTTTGCCCATCACTGGTCTAGTGTAAAGCACATTAATCTAATGCTCTGTCGTGAATGGCTTTTCCGCAGTTGGCAGGTGGTGCCAGTAGCCGTGTTCTTGCAGATGGTATGACCAGAGGGCCGGTGGTGCGCCTGCCTTCTGCCTGTCAGGCGGCTGAAGTCAAGGCCTGGCTGGAAAGCGATGAGGGCTTTAAGAGCATCAAGGAGGCCTTTGACCAGACCAGCAGGTAAAGGACTATTTCAGTGAACTGATTTAGTGTGATTTAGTGCAATTTTTTTAAAATTATGATTATGTAACATATATTTGTGTTGTGTTTGTAGGTTCGCACGATTGGAGAAGCTTCTGATCGGCCTGGCGAGTCGCAATCTATACATTCGATTCCAGTCCAGAACTGGAGATGCAATGGGGATGAACATGATCTCAAAAGTACGCAAGTACTGAATTTTACAAAATGTTGTGAAACATGGTCATTAAAGTGATCTTAAAATAAACTGCCATGACTCATTTCAGAGTTATTATGAAGAACTCGTGCAGTAATATTTTTTATTTTTATTTCTCTTTGGTCACCAGGGCACAGAACAGGCTCTTGCCAGGCTGAAGGAGGAATTTCCAGAGCTTCAAATTTTGGCTGTTAGTGGAAACTACTGCACTGACAAAAAACCTGCCGCCATCAACTGGATTGAAGGCAGGGGCAAATCAGTGGTGTGCGAGTCCACCATCCCTGCCAAAGTTGTCAAAGAGGTACAAAACCTCATCCTATTCTACAAAATGCCCTACAAACGCTGCATACTGGCAGCCTGTTGACATTGAACAAGGACATACATTTGTTTTTGGGATGATAGTCCAGACTATAAGTCTCACGCAAGTGTGTTTTTGTGCAGATTTTAAAGACGACGACTGAGGCTCTGGTAGATGTCAACATCAGCAAGAACTTGGTTGGATCTGCTATGGCTGGAAGCATCGGAGGTTATAATGCTCACGCCGCCAACATCGTAGCTGCTATCTATATTGCTTGTGGACAGGTAATAAAAGTTATTGTTTACAGTAGGATTTTGATGTGATTATATAGTGGTGGTACAGATGGTAGGTACAGAAGTGAATTGAACTAAACGAATTTGTCCTTGACAGGACCCAGCGCAGACAGTGGGCAGCTCTAATTGTATCACTATCATGGAAGCCTCAGGCCCCACCAGGGAGGATCTTTATATCAGCTGTACTATGCCCTCCATTGAGCTGGGCACTGTGGGCGGAGGCACTAACCTTCCTCCCCAGCAGGCTTGTTTAAAGGTACTTGATACAGGTCAATATTTTACACGTATGAAAGACCGAAGTATGTTTTAGTTTCATTGTGGATGTATAGTTGATAAAGCCACTCTCATAGCCGATCTCATGCAGTTTTATTCTCTCTCTGTCTTGCTGTCAGATGTTAGGTGTGCTGGGAGCCAGTCAGGAGTGCCCAGGTGAAAATGCCAGACAGCTTGCCAAGGTGGTGTGTGCTACCGTGCTTGCCGGAGAGCTGTCACTCATGTCTGCACTCACTGCTGGACACCTGGTCAAAAGTCACATGACTCACAACAGGTAAGAACTGTTTATTACATATGAATACAACATTCTAATTTATTATTATTAATATACTGTGTGTATATGTTTATTAAAATCTTTATCTAAAAATCTCTAAGCTAAAAAATGAGCTTAAAAATTTAAATACAACAATATAATTCTATATATAATGTAAAAGATTTACCCCCAGTTTCACAGACAAGGCTTAAGCTGGTCACAGAATAAAATGCATGTTTGAGCTGTCTCAACTGAAAATATCTTGCTCTGACATATCTTAAAATATGTCAGTGTCGTTGTTCTGTGTCAAGATGCACACCTGTAATGTTTTCTTCTAAGGCATTTTTGTAAAAGTTGCTTAAATATCTTAATTTAACTAAGGTCTAGTCCTGGATTAAGCTAAACCCTGTTTGTGAAACCGGGCCTTAATGTATTATTATTAAGTCATATATTAAGATGTTTATCTAAAAATCTCTAATTTCTAATCAGTTAAAATTATAAACATTGTAATATATTGTATCTTCTAATCACTTTAATCCATGTAATCGTAATCAAGAGTAATGAAAATACATTAAATCTTTAAAAAAAAATACATAATTGAAAATAACATTAATCTTTTAATCATGTAGTGATATATAATCATGTATTACATTGATAATCATTATCTAAGAAAATAATCTTACAAATTAAATTATAGTATAAAATTATATTCGGTGACAATGTTTTGTAAGAAACTATCATCTGCAAACACCTGTATAATTGCTTTTTTTAATTATTATTATTATTTTGGCTATAGATCAAAAGTGAATTTGCAAGAAGCTCCAGGAACATGTACTAAGCAGGCATCTTGAGACGTCACCTGTTGAAGATGCAAAAGGCCCATAAAGAAAGAGGATCTCAAGTTTAAGGCACATGTGATTAGTAATTTAGATTATTTTAAAGACCAGCAAAAGGAATACAGACAAATGACTGTTCATGGTTCCCCTGATCGAGTTGTCTTATAACTACAGACATTCTTTCAAAGTAAACTGGTTGAAATTAAAGACTGGAAGCAAGACCAGCTGTGTTCACAAGCCTAGAGCCAATATTTCTAAATCATATCTGAACAGAAATTGCTGTTTCCGGACCTGCTTTAAGCTTAAATTGCTATGGAGAGCAAATCATATCTTAGATTCACAGCAGCCAGTACATAGAGATACAAAAGGCCACATAATTTAACTTATTTCCTAAAAATCAATGTAGTTCGTCACATACATGACTGACTGGATGGGTTAAAGCTGAGTACATGTTTTACTTCATTATTTGTTGGGGATAGCAACAGGGATCATATCTTTGCCAACTGGAAAAAGCAACATTAGACAAAGGGAAGGATAAAGTTTACTCTTCATTGCACTTATAAAAGGAAATGGCATAGGAGAGTACTGATACAGAGAGGAGTTTAAAGTACTATGATTCACTAGTTGGTTCACATGTAGAATATTACAGAATGACTACGAAATTGCCAAATGCAGCCGGCAGCAGTGCTCGCAATGTTTTCCGTGTCAGAATGTACATTGCTTTTTTTTTTTTTTTTGCTATGACACAGGAATTGAATGACTTTTGTAACTGAAAAGGGTTGTGCTACGGCATGGCGACACAAATATTTCAAAAGGTGCTACAATCCACATGTTTCAGTTCTTTGTTCATTTAGTTATTTCTTTGTGTTTGAACACCTCTAATAATGGATTTATGTAACGATACGCAACGTAATGCCTTGCATGTTTCCGAAGGCTTGAAATGGCTTTTATTCAGTTGGTTCTGGTTTTCGTGTCATGGAAAAGAGTGGCTGTTTAGACATGTACGTTTCATACTAAAAGACATTGAAAAGAAGCTTGCGATTCCCCCCCCCCAAAGGCACAATTCAAATTATTCAATAAATAATAAACTGCAAAAGTTTTGTATATTTTTTTATAATAAAAAGAAAATACAGAATTCATTGACTTCTGCTTGATCATATTCTCTCTCACTTGGGCAACTTCAACCAAATAAAATGAAAATTAAAATACAAAAACACCAAGAACATGTCAAGGTTTAAAACTATGAAGTCCTGACAATATATATACACATTCCTTCTCTACCAAAGATCAGCTCCAATATCGAATATCCTCATCCAGTAACAAAATGATTTAATCAACTTTCAAAAAGTTCAAATATAGGTTTTGAACAAAAGAGAAGGTTATTATAAAATGATAAGGATTACAGCCTTTTAAACCATTGTTTAATAAAAGGGATGAGATAATATTGTAGATACCTTATTAAACTTTTTGGGATTTTTAGAATTTAGATTAGCTTCTTTTCAATTCACTGGTTAACCAAAAAAATTAATAAAATAAGAGTAACACGAATCACATGAACAGTGAATTCTGCCGAAAGTTTGCACTCAAGCAAAAACTCAATATATTTCCATGTGTTGCTAAAAATTGAGCTTATCTCTAAAAGAAAAAAAGATTGCGAAGCGATAAGCCCAAAAAAACAAAAAAGGCACCAAATGAATCATAGAATTAAAAGCAACATATAGATGAACTATATATATCAAGGAATTTAACCACTAAAATTTTCAGCTCTCCTCAAAATAGTAAAGTACTAAAAAAAGCACAGCTGTTAGATTTTGAGGTTATTTGTGCGCTTGAGACCTGAGGGTGGTGAGATGTTCGAGTTCTCCTGAGGCAGCGTCATTATAGGCTCTTGCCTCACCAGAGTGCGAGCCGGCCAATCAGCTCACCCTGCATCACATCTCACCAGGACACTGACTGCTGATTGGCTTAACCTCAGACAGAACTGCAGGGATGAAACGGGCTTTACACACACACACACACACACACACACACACACACACACACACACACGTTAATCTCAGAGCGCTAACGTGTTACTCCTCCCCTCATGTTTATCTTGAATAGTAACCCTATCTCATGCACATGATGCCTTATCGGCCAATTTGTCAGTCATCCGCGCTCAGTGTGATTGGAAATGTTCCCACACTGTTGTACACAGTACAGTGAGTTTATAGGATATTGAAAAATTTATTGCACTGTACAGTGAGATATTCTTCCTGTATGAACCTCAACACAGAAAATCATCCTTAAGTGAGATTAACAAACTATAGGCAGAAACATAAAAAGAAAACGTGAAAGTTTTGCTTTTGTTTCATAAAATGTGGTTTCATTAATAAGTTGGTGATACATGTAGAAATAACTCATTTACAAAACATTTTTTTCCAAAAAGCATTCAACATTTGTAGATCAATCTCAAAATAAAATCAAAGTTCAGAAAGTTTCTTGTTCTTGCAGTCATGAACAGTGTTTCACACTATTAAACTAAATATAAAAGTGCTTGAAGCAGAACTGCAGCAGCAAATTTGTAGTGGGAGGCAAGTGATGCAATAAATGTATAACTTAAAATCAGGCATTCTGAACTCAAGTATTAGTATGGAAAGACTATGGTGGGATTAAAAAAAAAAATCAGATTGTTTAGTGCAAACAATGTTACAGAAAACACAAATTCAACATATGATGCATCATCTAAGAAATCATGACCTCAAAGGGATAGTTCACTCACAAATACAAATCATTTACTCAAGTTGTTCCAACCCTGAAATGCTTTCAAAAGAACATACAAACATTTCGAAGAATGTTGGTAACCCAGCAGAATTTGGTTACCATTGATGGCCATTGTATGGAGAAAAACATCTCAAAATATTTTATTTTTTTGTTCCACTAATGAAAGTCAGTCGTTCAAGTTTGGAACAACATGAGGGTGAGAAAATTTTACATATGATTGTCATGTTTGGATGAACTATCCCTTTAAGACTACTGATAGTTAAAAACGTCCTTGATTCATTACCTCCTCCATATAGTGAATTAGACCACAGAAAGTGATATTAAACGGTGAAATTCCCTCTCTTTCATAAGCATAGATGGCACTACTGCAGTAATTCTACATAGATTTTGTAGATGGAAGCCCAATAGGTAGTGATGAACCAGAAGTGGAATGACGTTGTTTAAACTGTTATAGGGCCCAAAAAGGCAAGTGTGCAATAAAGTGCCACCTATCTGCAGAAATGATTATTTTGGAAACTTCTGGAAAATTAAAACAAAACAAACAAACAAACTTAAAAACAAGAAATAAAATTAAAATACAAGAGAAAAGAAAAGGAAGGCAATTATGGTCTATTAAGTCACTAACAACTTTTCACAGGCCTACCAAAATACCCTATACTTTGATTATTGTCTTATAAAAGCAGTTCCCAATAAATGTACACTTTGCCTAAAGCCACATTTGTGAATTACAAGAATCAAAATGTGTAATGCCTTCACATGTAAATAATCGTAAACATTTAGATTAACTTACTGTACAAAAGATCTTAAGAGATCTTAAGTTTGACGTCATCTTGATCATCGGGGCTAGAAAGGGTCTTCCTAAGAGAAATGGCTATTGGACAAGGCCAGTGAAAAAAGCTCACGTACAGCTGAGATAATGCTGGGATTAGATCAAGGCATCAAGTTTACAGTATATATATATATATATATCTCATCAAGACCATAGTCAGACCTCAAACTATGATCAAATATTTACAAAAATGTAAAACACTAACAAAACCAGAGCCGCAGCTCATTTAGGGAAAAACAAGTAAGGCCTTTTAAAGATGAACAGGCTGTGTTGGTTTTTCTAGTGTGTTTGTGCTTTTCAAATGTGCTTTTACAGACTTTGTACCATTTTTGCTGTTGTTCAGTCTGTATGGATACGGTTTGAAAAGGTTTCTAAAGAGTGTCAAGAGCACTTGGGCAGAGCAGCTCTTTGTTGTGAGTGATGTGTATAAGGCGTTTCTTCATTAGGGTCGGAAAGCAAACTGGAAATGTAGATTGAACAACCTGGAAGAAGAGAAAAGCAGATTTTGAATAAACGTGCATTTAAATTATAGGCGGAAATGGTCGCTTTTTTTAAGGTGTGACTTACCTGGTGTTGCTCAAAAGAGAATAGCCTCATCGCTGGTCTTCTCTTGAACATACGAGGTGAAGCGTTTGAGGAATTTGGGGTATTCTCTCTTGGCTACGGCTCGTAAGACTGATGCAGGGGCCCAACCACCAGGATTTACTTTAGGATTATATGAACACAGCATTAATGTGATATATTCTATATCATGTATATAATAAATAAAGACTGCAATCCAAACTGTGATGTACTCAGTGTGCAAATGATATATGATTTTCACAGCTGACCCCAAAATATATAGGAAACTGAAAATATAACATTTTATAATAAAATAATGAGAGTCATGCTTTGTTATTGTACCTACTGACTGATGCTAACAAAAAATGCTCCAGTGCCAAACTGTTGCCATGTTTACCTCTTCAGGACAACATGATAATCAAGAATACATGGGGGCTTTTTTTAGGGTCAAGTACTAACTAATCTAACTTTTGTGGTCCTTGAAAAAAAGTTTAAAATCTATAAAAATATATTGCTATAATATATTTTTAAGAAGTATACTACGGTTTAAAAGTTTGTGATTGGCAAAATGTAATGCTTTTGAACAGTAATATTACGGTTACAAAATGTTACATTTTGAAATATTACTACAATTTAAATTAACTGTTTTCTATTTTAATACATTTTAAAATGTAATCTGTTCCTGTGATGGCAAAGCTGAATTTTCAGCAGTGATTGCTCCAGTCTTCAGTGTCACATGATTTTTCAAAAATCATTCTAATATACTGATTTGGTGCTCAAGAAATATTTTTTATTTTCAATGTTGAACACATTTAGTGGAAACTGTGATGCATTTTTTTCAGGATTCATTGATAAATATATTAAGTCCGATGAAACAGCATTTATTTAAAAATATAAACATTGTGTAAGATCTAAAAATGTAAATCTTTACTATCATTTTCGATCAATTAAATTCCTCCTTGCTGAATAAAAGTATTAAAATTGCTTTCAGAAAAACAAACCTTACTGAACCCAAACTTTGCATGTACTTTTAAACCCCCAACTCGACCTTTAGTTTGAATTCTTTTGGAGGTTTCAAACATCAATTAGGAGGACCAAACACCCCCAAGACTTACCATTGGCTACATATGTGATTTTACAGAGGATGTTGTCTCTGGTGATCTCTTTGTCTCCCTCTGGTGGGCTGATTAAAGTTTGACAGATCATGGCTACATTGATTTTGGCACGAATGCATCTAGCAGAGGGCTGGAGAAAACATGGTTTTGGAGAAAAAAAAAGAGAGTTACTGATGCACAACTTACTGTATACTGCTAATGTTGAATAATATGCGTCTATGATATCAAACTGCATGAAGAAACTTTTCAAAAGATAATTCTGAAGTCCTGGTACTTACTGGATAGCTGTCATGATCCACTGAGAAGTTGCACACCAGCCAGGTGTCTGGATCATTCTCATTGGTGGAGAGAATTTTACGGATAACCGATACGTAAAGCACATCTCTCTGGGAAGCAGGCCATACCCTCTGCAACAGAGTAGAGAGAAAAAAACCCCCCTGAAATCTAATGATCACCCATGATGCAATAGTGAGTGTGTTATAGTAGAAGTGTTCTACCTTATGTGTCTGATGAATGATGACCGCTTTATCCGAGAGTGTCTCAACCACTTGAAAGCTTTCAACAGTTGCTGTAAAAAAACAAAAAAAAATAAGGTGAGCCTATTCTCATTCTCACAACGTAAGATTAGAAGATCAAAAAGGCAAAATGATGCACTGAAGTGAACATACTCTCCCAGTCGTTCCGAAAAGCTGTGTCCCAAAAGTAGTGGCAGACCTCGTGACCTGTGACCCCTCTGACAGCATGAGTAGCTTTGAGAGGATCCAGAACGATGCCGTTCTCCTCCACCTCTCTCCTGTACACCTGCAAAAACAATTGTTCTAACATATTCATTTCTGAGCATTAATTAATGACAGAACTGCAAATAGACCAAACGAAAGCAACCTCTAGTGGAAAAGAGAACAATAAAGGATTAAAAGGGATAGTTTACTGAAAAATGCAAATATCCCAAACTCTAACCTGAAGAAGATTTAGACTGGTGTCAAAGTTCTTTCGCATATTCTTCTGTTTTGTGACTGAACCAGAAACTACCCACCCACACACTACAGTTCAGTTTAAATTTTTTTACAATAAAGATACAATAATTACAATAATTAAATACAAAAATACAATAATAACATTTTTATTCAGCAAGGATGCATTAAATTGATCAAAAAGTGACATTCATAATGTAACTAAATATTTCAGAAGGTTCATGTGACACTGAATACTGAGTAATGGCTGCTGGAAATTGAGCTTTGCCATCAGAGTTATAAATAAAATTTATTACAAAAATTTCACAATATTACTGTTTTTTCAGCATATAAACTGCAGCCTTGGTGAGCATAAGAGAACATTTTGGAAAGTTTCATTAAAAAAAAAACCCTAACCAATCCCAAATGTTTGTATGGTAATATATATAGATAAACATAGACGAAGATATATACTTACAGGGGAAAAAAATTATAATTTATAAGATATAAAGCCTCATTTATCTTTTTATATTTTTTTACTTTGATATGGAAACCAGCTTCCATAGAAACAGCCCAAAGTGTCAAATAAAAAAAAATCTACTGCCTTTATCTACATCTCACCTTCATATCCCCTTCTTCAACAACCAGCTGCCAGTTAGCATCTCCACCCACATCCTGTAAAGAATAAGTCATGTGGCTCTGCACCATCTCCTCAACCTGTGAACAAAACAAGAGGTATAAAGTGTTATATACTAAAGTAAACAAGCAAAAACTGTATTAGTTACATTTATTCAAGTTCAGAACAATCATATGCCTGCAGTTCGTCCGCACTAGTGTGGTGTCATGTCTCTACCTGAGCACTGAACCGGTGCACGTCATCGGAGGCACTTATGAGGTCAATGGAGGACAAGGAGGAAGTATGACTGTGAGGCTGAACCCAAGAAACAGGAGAGCCAGAGGGAAACAGGGCAAGGGAAAGAGGAGAAAATAAAAATCTCATCATCACCCAGAGAATACAGAGCAGACCGCCACTGCAAATCACGCTTCAGCAGGAGGGACTGGAAGAACAAAGGCAGCTTCGCAAATGTAAAAGCCCCAAAGACTTCACCGAGCAGATCCACCATCAGCAATGACAGAATTACACAATCAGTCACGAAGAAGCAAATGTGCTTCGATAAAGTGAGTGTGTAGGAGTGTGTGCTTGTGTGGGTGAGCCAGAGTGGTCTGACTTGCCTTAGTCAAGTATTTCTGAGTGCTGATGGAGGAATGGGTGTCTGGAGGGAGGAAGATCTGTCGAGATGCCCTGCTCCTTTCTGCCTGGGACTGCAAAATATGACAACAACTTTTATATATGGACATAGAATTGAATATATATGAAATTGAATTAGCTGTAAATATGCTTTGGATCTAGTTCTTGACTGTTGGATCCCAATGAATAATGAACTCTGGGTCATGCATTATATATTTCAGTCATTTGTGGACAGCGGTCCATCCGTTTCTCCACAAAAGTCAATGGGGTCTACATTCATTATCAGCTCTGGTTCCAACTAGTGGTCAGCTGATTTATCAACAAGGATGAAAATAGCCATTTGTTAATCATCACATTGGTAGATAACATTGATTTTAACATCAAACCAGACTTTAAACAATGTAGAGTGTGTTTTACAACCATAACAATAACTAGATGATATCTAATTTAGCGTTTATGTTCTGTTTAGTTATGTCTACTTCCACTTTAAATGCTCTTTAAAGTCAGGTGGATTCTGATTGACTGTCAATGTTTTTATCATCATTCAACTGGAAAAAAAAAATCTTAATGTAATTATAAAGATGCTGCTCTTCTGGGTTGTAATTGTTATAGCTGTGGTGTGAACCTCGCTATTCTCACAGAATTAGAAAGATTAATAAAACAATACAGTTATAGTTAACTTTCTGGTCTTTATTGTGGTCAAAAATAATCCGACTTAACTAAACTAACTAACTAAATGACTACTGACTTAAAATGACTACAATTCAGTTTTAATGTGCTGTTTTAACGTAAAAATGTATGTGTGAACCAAAAAAACTGTGTACTTGGCTAAATTTGTTTAGAGGGCCTTAAAAGTGACAACAGCAACAGTGCCACAGTTCAGTAGCATGTTTGCTAATGCTAGGCCACTCTGACCGCTTTAGTTTTCCCAGGTTTTCCACACAACTGCAAGCACAAACATAATCCTTCTGTATATATTTACACTTCAAAAGTCATGATGATGTATTCAAACAGTCAATTTCATGGAAATGTAGCCATTGTAACTAATGGAATGGCTGTACAAATGTATAACAGATCCATATCATAATTGAAATAACAATGGTTGGATCATTACTTGCTCTTCGATCTGGTCATGCTTATCCAATGCAGCTTCCACAGCATCGAAGAACTCCTCTTCATTGATCAGACTGTTTGGTCCTTCCTGCACAGAGAGAATTTCTCAGTCTGGAATGGAGGGTGTGTGTTGAACCAAAGATGTAAAGGACAGTGTGAATTAAAGGCTGTGGACGCACTTCATAGTCTGGTCCTCCATAATGAGGCTTCTTCTTCAGCTCTGTCAGTGCAGCTTTATAGGCGTCTTCAGCACGTCTTCTCCTTTCAATTTCCTTATGAATGATAGAAGAATGTTACTCATACTATATCCAGTATACATCACAATGCACTCAAGAAGATCTTCAATGGCTCATAACAATATATAATAAATAAATAATTTTTATAATAATATTTTTCCACCACACTCTTAATTTTATTTCTTTATTTATTAAATTATAAAGTTTTCCAGTATCTGGGAAAGAATAATAGCATCTATTCTGCTTTCTCTTCTGAGTGGATCAAGTTTTTCGTCACCCAACAGACATGT